ATTCGCGCGCAAAGACCCACTAATGCTTTTGCTTCTTTTATAATATTTGTTGATTGTTTAATATTAACAACGCGTGAGTTGATCCAGTGGCAAGTGATAGTGCTGGTAACAGTCATGACCTGGGTTCGAGCCCCAGGTCTTCGTTACTTCCATATTATTTTTCAATAAAGATTCATATGCAGTTTCAATAACAAAGACCACCATACACTTCCAAGATCCAGTCGTCCACGCGTCCAATGGAATCAAATCAAAGGCTCAGATCTAAGGCATATGGTAGTCCCAGTCAACGCGCCAGCATGTTCCCTGGAGAAAGTCAAACGGACCTGAAGGTCATTGGGCTCAAATGCTTGGGCTATACCTCCATGTTGGGGACTACAACCCCCCTTGGTTTGCAAATTCTTTTAACTTTTTTTTATTGTATTTTTATTTTTTTATAAATTACTTGTTTAAATTAGTTTAATATTTTCATAAAATCACAAAATACCATAAAAATCAGAAAAGGTCAAAAATTAAATATATTTAATTTTTTAATATTCCTTGTAAATAAATTGCATGTAAATTAATTAGTTTTAAATTAGGGTTTAATTTAATATTTTCATAACAAAAATCTAAAAAAACATAGAATTAGGTTTAATTAATTTTCATCCTTTTTTTTTATTATTTTTATTTTTCTTTCATAAATGATTAAATAATTAAATATTTATTTTTGTAATTAAATTTGTACGTTAAATATTTAGTTAATTTAGGTTAAACTTCAATGTTTTCTTAATAAATTAAAAGCCATTAGAATTAGGGTTAGTTTTTATTTTAATTAAATCTTTTTTTCATATTAAATCCTAAAGTACTAAAAAATACCAAAAAACAAGTTCTTTCTTTCTTTTTAATTAATTAATTCCTCGTTAGTTTAACTTTACAAAAAGGGTCCAACGCCCTCGTCTCGATTTAATTCTTATTCGCATATTTATTTCTTCTTTCGTATAATATTTGTGTATCTCTCCCAAGGCCATGTAACCTTTTAATTTCTTGCACTTTCAATTCTTTATTTACTTTATTTATTTATTTTCTGTCAAATCGGGTTCGAGAAACTTTTGGCGATGTGGACCCGCGCCTTTTGTAATAGCTTAGAATTTTATTTTTCTCGCAATATTTTAACTGTTAACAAATGGCATGAAAGAATGTATGGACAAAATAAAAACAAGCGTAGAACACCAATAACATGACAAGATAAATGCAAATGAAAACGACACACAAATCGCACACACCACCCCTAGGGTACGCCTCACTGTTGCCTTGCCTCGAAAGGTGATCGTCGAGTAGAGGATGTCTTAGTAAGTCCTCATGATCCGGGAACCTGGCATGAGGGTAGCTTCTAAGGTGTCTTCCCATTGCTCTGGTGATCACCATGTCCCGAACCTCGAATTAACCCGAACACCTCCAACGGTGGTGCTACCTACCTCTCAATGGTGGGATGGCACTACTTTAAAGGACATTTACACAGACGAATTCCTTAGGGTACGTAGACGACTCTAGATACTTGCTCTAATTTCAAAGACAAATCAAAAATACTTTTTACACCGACACCTTTTCAAAAAGCTTTCGAAAGCAATTTTTCAAACACTCTTGAGGACTGATACAAGAGTCGAACTGAAATTTTCAAAGAAACTTTTTAAACCCACAGTTGAAAAGCAAACAAACCATTTTTGAAAACACAAATGAGAAAGTATCTAAGAGCCCATGGATAACCATGGATAGAAAGGGTGCTAACACCTTCCCTTTCTATAACCTACCTCCCGAACCGAGAGCGATCTCTTTAAGGAATTTTTCTGTGCTTTTGTCCTTCCCATTTGGAGAAAATAAAAGACGGTGGCGACTCTTGCTTCCGCGACATTTCGCGAACCAGCGTTAAACAGTCAGTTCCAGATCCACCGATCACATTATTTTTTACTGAACAATATTAATTTCGCCTTCTGCCGCAACTCGACCTTTGGAGACTTACGCGTCAGCACAGAAGTGAATTAATACGCTTCTTTTGAAAAGGTTTGGAGAAAATGTGCCTGGGTGCACAAAAAAGTTTGAATTTGTTTGCGTTTTAAGTGAACGATATTAATTTCGCCTTCTGCCGCAACTCGACCTTTGGAGACTTACACGTCAGCACAGAAGTGAATCAACATGTTCTTTTTTAAAAAGAATTTTGTAAGGAAGGCCCGAAGGCAAAAATAGTTTGTATTGGTTTGTATTTTTTGCTTGTAGATAATAGCTAGTTAATCTCGAGAGAGAGAGAGAGAGAGAGAGAGAGAGAGAGAGAGAGAGAGAGAGAGAGAGAGAGAGAGAGATTTTACCATGTCTCTACTTATTCATGAAATGATTTTTTTTTAGACTTGAACCATATCAAGCCTTAGAGCAAGAGAATGATAAGATCGAGAAGATACCCGCTTATCGTATCCATCTTCAACGAAGGCACGATTCTCGTCAGTAAATTTTTAGTGTTTTGAAGTTTGTAAAAAAAAAATTATTTGTGCATATGCAAAACGGGAAGAAAATCACATGAAGACTAGCCTATTTCTAAACCTAATTTTATCATGCATTGTTAGACCTAAGTCAAGGATGAATAAAAGGGAAACGTCTACCTAATGTTAGCATGCACATGGATTACGGTAAAGCCCTACTTCTCATGATTTTTAGAAAACCAGTAAAGAAACGCGATAAAGTGCGAAAATGAAGAATAAAATAGAGTTGCAGTGATACCGAACGGAGGAGATCTGTTGCCTCTTCAAAGCCACGCAAGTGATAAGAAAACTCTATCGAGTGCTTCCTCGAATTTCCCTTGATGGAGATCGTGTTCTTACTTAGCTTCGAAATTTCTCAAGCCCAAGTCCCCTTTTTTTATTTCAAAGTTTCACACAAAATTGACGTCAAAATATACTAAAACATGGCTAAGATAACGACAAACCAAATTAGTAAAAAAAAAGATTCTATTATAATATTTTTGAGTTTTTTTATCATGTATTATATTGACAAAAATTAAAAAAAAAGCGAAACAAAGAAAGAAAGAAAAAAAGAAATCCTAAATCTAATGAAGAACTAATAAACTCAGGGGGTGATGATTTGAGTCTAGGGAGTGTGGCTTAGTAAATTGGGCGCTGGCCCGTTCCCAATGAAGCCCATTAGAAATATTTTTTTGTTTTTTTATCATCAAGTTTCCAACAAATAGTAAAAATAATAAACAATAAAAATAAAAAAATAAATAAAATTTTAAGAGGGATTAGGTTACAGAACGTGACATTTCCTCCTCGCTTCCCTTCCTCTCTCGCGGCGCGACTTCTTCATCATCTTCTTCGTTCTATCTTCTTCTCTCTCATGGTGGAGCCTCCGATTCACCACCTCCTTCACCCATTTAACCTTCATCCACCTCACTCTTCATTGTCATTGGTCCTCTTCTTCTTCTCTGATGCAAATTCTGACAAGAATCTCCGTAGCCACCATCGCCCCTTTAACCTTCCCAAAATCTCTGATTGAAGGCGTGGAATTTCGGCGCGATGCTTGCCTACCTCCGGTGTTACCACAAGGTATCCTCCTCTTTTTTGCTCTCTTTTCTTGTTCTACTTTGAATATCTTGCGACTTTATTTCGCACTCCTTCTTCTACTCAAACTTCCGCGTGCGTTTTAGAGCTTGAATTGGTTATCGTTATTGTTGTGCGTTATGCAGATGAAGATGGTGAGGTTACAGAGGCCCGGAGTGTTAAGGTTCAGTGGTGAGGATGAAAGTTGTTAGAAGGTGATGAAGGTGGTTTAAAGTGAAGAGATGATGAAGTTGTTGAAGTTTTTGAAATTGTGGATGAACGGCAAACTAGATTGAGGATGTAGATTACACAGTGATGAAGAATGAAAATTGAGTGGTGATGATTGTTACTGTTGAAGATGAACGCAGGTTGATGAAGATGGAAGAAGATGTAGATGCGGTTATTGCAGAGAAAGAGAGAAGAAATTTCTGGGTGATTTTCCAACGATTGAATCATGAAGCAATTGAAGGAGATTTATGTTATATCATCTGAAGTTTGTTACAGGTAAGTAATCCAGAGCCCTTGGATTTGTGACAGTTAGTTATGAGATGGAGGGTGAGGATTGGGTTAGTTGCAAGTTTAAATAGTTGGTTAGAGGTTGTTCTTTTGTTTGGTAGTTAGAGAGTTTGTTACTCTGTTGACAGTTTGCAGGGCTAGAAAAGCGGTTAGGTGGTTAGTTATGTTTGTAGTTTGTTGGAAATTCTGTTAGTTGGGCTATTTGCAGTTTGGAAAGTAGTTAAAAAAATGCTAGAATTCAGTTAGGACAGTTGAGGGGCTGTTATGAGTTATTTTGGAATGGTTAGAATTCTGCTTTGTCACAATTTCTTAGAACTGAACTGTTAACTGTTATTGATTTTGCTTTTTAATTTGTGGAATGAAAATGTGGGATATGGTTTTATATAATTTAAGAATTACATAAACTATCATTTATATGCTTAACTGAATGTTCTGGAAATTATCAGAAGGAGATTTTTAAGAGAGCAATGCTTTTTATTATGAGGCAGACATTTGTTATTAATGGGATACTATGGATTCTTCATAGGTCAGATGGACTAAACATTAAAGAGTGCTTGTCTAATACCAGAATCTTCTCCCATTCACAAATAATCATAAGTCTTTAGGTCGGTGCGTCCAGTAGTGCTGGGAGCTGCTGTAGGTGTTAGTAACCGTGAGGCTACAATGTTGACCAGTCAGCCGCTGTGCATTGCTTTTTCCTTGCTTCTTTTTCGTTTTGATACTATATTCCTCTGCATATGTTGTTGTTTTACTTTTCTGGGCCTGTAACATTTGTTGCAGATTGTTGTACCATTAGCTAATATGGTTTCATAATGAGAAAAATGGAGTTGCGGTATAGAACTTGGACTTGGTTGAGAAATGGGTTATCTTTTTCCATGCGGTCCAAGACCCATCCACTTGCTGCAATGTTCATTTTCTGATATCTTAGTGCAGGGATGCATTTTTTTTGAATAATTGATTCAGGCTGTAACCAGTAGCATTTGATTCTTGTGCAGTATCAGCACCTGGCTGATGAAATCCAGGAAGACCAGAAAAGTTTACAGTAGAAATGGGCCTGCTAAGATCATCTTGACGAATTAAAGGCCTTGAGTTTATATTGGGGGCTGACTGCAAATTATTATCAGGCCAAACTGATTGTTGTTTGTTTCTATCAATGGGTGAAGGTCCTTCTTTTGGCAATGACCGTTCAGTATTCCGAGAACTTAGACCACTTCATTCCTCTTGTATACCCACTTCACTACTAGAAGTTTCAGCTACAGCAGACTGCATCAGTGCACTCCAACTCCCACTCTGAAGAGAAGGAAATCCACTAAAACTATCTGAACCATCCAGCATATTTAAAGCAGAATTCCTGCCAAATCCATCCCAAGGGTTGTCATCAGAACCAAACAAAATTTTTTCTTCAGTTGGATCTAGTGTAGCCACATTATATGGAGGAGCCTGCACTATCAACTTGTCTTGTGAAGTCTCGGAAGATCCAGCCAGTTCTTGCCTCGCGTGAAAATCTTCCATTGGTACATCTCTTTGCTCAGAATTCATTTGCTGCAAGTTCTCCATATTTAGCCCGCTATTAATACCAGGAGCAACTGAACTAAACATATTTTTTCCTTGAATATCTTGTCTAGAAACTGAAGTTCCATCATTTAGGTTAGTTTTATCTGACATAGCAGCATAGTGGTGAGCTGGAAATGCATTAACGCTGGTTGATATGGATGGTAATGATTGTTTGAAGAATGCAACAAGTCGGTTCGCTTGGGGCATGAGGATCTAAGAATACATGACGATGGCGAACTTTGGCATGGCATGGAATTGGAAGTTTACTCATGGAATGTTAGCACCTTTAGGACTAAAGAATTTTGTTCAAGTGTATTTTGTAATAGTTTTTTTTTCTTTGTAGAATATTTGTGTAATGGGATTGTAATGATTTTATAATGAATGTTTGGCTTGGATGAACTTGAAATTTATAGTGTGAATTGTAAATGACCTTGAGCTTGAAATGTCGGGTGATGAATTTTAAAGACGGAGTTTAAATGACAAAGTCTTGAAAAAATGCTTGAAGACATGAAAGCATCAAATTTTCTTGTAAGGTATTGTTACACTTGAATGAAATTGAATGGAATTGGATAGTATTTTCTTGAATCATGAATGAAAGGGTTTGAATAAACTTTGAACACATGTGAACTTGAATCTGGAATAACGATGAACATCTTTGTAATGCGGATGAACTCCGACTTAAAACAAAACCTCGCAGTCTGTACTTTACCTTCCAAGAAACTCATATGACCAATACTTAAGGCTCTTTGCCAACTTTAATCCAATCAAACACTTTCGAACATCTTGAACTCAAATCAAACTTCAAATCTAAATCACACTTGCATTCTCAATGAACTCCTAACTTCAATCTTGAATCCAAATCAACTTGTATGATAAGTAATTTGAATAGTCAATAAGATCTTGATCCTAAAAATTCACAACCTCGCCTTTTGTATCATGCCTCATATTCCATGATTCAATCCATAAGTCTCTTATCTCGACAAGGTCCTTCCCTAATTGACAACCTTAAATCATCAAAGATGGACATAAATGATAATGAAAGAATATGATCAAGATTAATATGAAACCTAATTTCCCCTGATCTTCAATTACTTGAATATTTATCAACGGATAGAAACCCTAATTTCTAATGAAATTTTATTTCTGAACAAATATTTCTTTTCCTTTTTCCATACCATTCTTTAAATGTAACTTGAATGCCTAACACATATTAGATGAAAGTTCGAGGGAAACCTTGGTCCAAATGTTAATTGTTCAAAGCTTACTTTAACCGAAGTCAACAGATCTTATCCTCATATCTTTGAACTTGGCCCATGATTATGCATCTCAAGGCCTCATAAGAGCTTGTAAGCCCAACACCTAGGTGTGCCATGTTGAACAAAACCCTGCCTTGAATGCCTTGAACCTTGAATTATTTTGCATGAAATCTTCCACGAGAAGCCTACTTCAATCCAAATCTACTTGCATCGCAGATGACAAATGACAATGATGAGGACAATAATTGCCTTGTTTAAGGAGAAGTCCATGAATTCATATCTTACATCATGAACCACGCCTCACAATTCAATCCCCAGCCCTTAGCGATCGGTTATTTCAACTTGAAATTAGTGTCATAAGGAACATCTTACAGATGGATGATAAAGTCTGAATCATAGAAGAATTCCCTTGATGTGAAACCCTAGTCGCACAAATGAAAACCTCAGCACTTGCCAGGACTGGATAAAAGCAATTATATCTTGAAGAGAAAGAAATCCTGTTAACCACACCTCACAATCTTGATTCCCCGTTTAGACGCACAGAGAAATATCCGGATAAAACATCTTTGAACCATGATTCAACAAAACCTAAATTGATTAACTGAGGAGTAGATGAATGTCATGTTACAGTCATTAATCCTAATCAAATGATAGGCATACTTATAGGAAGAGACGCCATGATATGGAGCCCCCATATGCTAGGTCACGCCCTGGAGTTCTTGACCAGAATGACCTACAACCAGTTGTTTATCAGAAGATATTAGCCCTGTAACTTGGTGGAGAAGAAGTCCAAAAAATGAACCTGAACCAAAACCTTAATTCCAAAACTTTGTACACCGAGAAGATCCTGGATAATCAAACTTATCCAACACATACACCTTAAATCAGCTGTAAACCCTAGCTTCCTAACTGTTGATCTTTTGAGCCTCAGGTAATCTATTTTATGAAAAATGCGTGCTATGCAAATGACCCATTGGAATGATGCAGATGAATGCAAAAAGTCTAAGCCATAAAAGTGAAATTAGGAGGGAAAATTTTGGGGTGCAACAGGGTTGATCATGATTCATCAAGGATTGCTCAGAATTCATCAAGACTCAAAAGTTGCTAAATTAGGGTTTTGTAGGAAAAGTTAACTCAAATTTGACCAAGCATAACTTTCTCATACTTTATGAGAAATGACACATCCAAAGACCATTTTGAAGAGGATGCAATTTTCTACAATCTATCTTCATACCCCAAGATCAAAAAATGCACTCACAAGAAGTTATGAATTTGGACATTATAGGTCATTTTTGAAAGTCAACAAAAACACCTTTTTTGAAAAAGCTTATAACTTGAGCATGAAATATCAAAATGATATGAGACCAAAAGGGTTGGTTAGAGGACATCTCAAGCTTTCTAAAAGTCCAAGAAAACTTCCAAAAGTTCAAAATTGAAGAAGTTATGCATTGTTGAAGTTGGACATTTTTGCAAAATTGCCAAAAGTCAACTATCCCTAAAACTTCAAATTTTGTCAAATGGGCCCATTCTTTTCCACTTGATTTGAGCTTGCATAGTTTCCCACGTGTCCTAGTTTCAGCCATGAGCCCATATTTTATTTTTATTATTTAATTTGATTTTTATTTGAATTTATTCATTTTAAATCAAATTAAATCATATAAAATCTAAAACTTTGGTAACATGAGATTTTTTTGCTGTTTCAGGCTATGATTATCATCATTAACATCGTCAAAATCGAATCAGACCAAATCATGTGCAAAAAGATTGAGATTTGGCAAAATTGGAAAGGTTTGAAGAGGAGATCAAATCAAATTCAAAGGCATTGATATGGGAAGATTTGATCCATAATTCTTACCCTAATACACTACACACTACATAAGAAAGCCAAAGAAAACGTGATCAGGGTTGGCAATTGCAGGCAGAGGCGGAACAAATTTGGAAAATTCACAAAGAAAGCTTGAGATCGAAATCATAGCTAGAGGCACTTTCAGAAGCCAAGACCTGTGCCAATCGCTTCCTGGGCATTCACTCAAGCCAAACCAATCCAAAGCAAGCTTGTTCAGACTCCATAACACACTGTAAGTCCCACGCTACTTAGCTCTGTTCTTGGATTTGATTTGGTCTATTTTGGCATCATTTGAATGAAATAATTGCATATTCATAACCCTCATGTTATTTGCAAACCATTGGCAATAATCAATTTGATTTCTAGGCGTTGTAACCCCAAAACACCATAGTTAGGGTTGTATTTTTGTTTTTAGGGATTCTTATTTCAGGTAAAATTGGTCAATGTAATAGGCATGGTTGCATCCGGGAGGATGAGATGAACACAACCATGCCCTTGAAAGTCATTCTTATTGCCTGGAAACAATTTTTGGAATGAGCTGCGCTTTTAGCTGCGGATTCAAATCCGTAGGTAAAATTACAGTAGTGGAAGGACAGGGACGAAGAGCTGGCACTCACTCATTGGGCCATTCAAAAATGGCGCGCGTTTTATTCTTTTCTGACCAATTAATTTTGTTTTGTTATATTATCATTATTGTGTAATATACTTACAAATAGATCAAGGCGGCGTAGTGGCAATGCAAGCTTCCAAATTCCTCCAGGACCTGGGTTCGAATCCCAGGTCCCCCACTTTCTCAATGTTTTTTTCCTTCAGGTACTCCTATGCGCGCCTAGGCTTGCAGAACACCACGCATCCTCATTCATCCAGTTGCCAAGTGGCCAAAGGCCAAATCTGAGGGTTCAAGAATGAATGTCCACCAAAGGCCAAGTCCAAGCGTGCACATTGGATTCCAAAAAAGTCAACAAAGGCCAGCAGCAATGGGCCTTCAGATTGCTATCCACACCACAAAAAAACAGGCCCATACTCCCCTCTCATAATTCTTTTTGTTTATTTATTTATTGATTTAATTGTTTTATTTAATTTACTAACCAATCAAAAAAATTCTTTTCTTTATAAAATAAAATCACAAAAAATATTTTTATTCAATCACATTTTTATTTTTATTAATAAACACTAATTAATTAATTTAGGTTTTTAATTAGAATAACTTTAACCTATTTTTTGTAAATAATTAAAATTAAATTAGATTTAGTTAGGTTTTAATTACTAACTTAATTATTTTATTTTTCTTTCTTAAAATAACAAAAACCCAAAAATAATTTAATTTTTTTATTATTAATTAATTAATTTAATTTAATTTAGTAATTAATTTAGGATTTATTTCTTTCTTAAAATAAAAAAACAACAAAAAGACATTTTCTTTAACCAAATGGGTCAAAACCCTAATCATGCGCTTGACTTAATTCCCCGCACGTGATTTATTTATTTTTATCCAATAATGTACTTGCTTCCGGATTGTAATAGAAAATAGGACTTTTAATTATTTTTATCGCTTTATTTATTTTTAAAGGGTTTTTCTTTGGCGATGTAAATACCCGACGCCTGGTAATTTAAATTCCGCATTTTATTTCCGCAAATTATAACTGTTAGATGTTTGATAATAGGATGGCATGACAAGACTGAATGTTTTAACCTAAAATCAACTTAGATCACCCTTAACCTATACAAAGATAAAAATAACTGAAAATGATACACTCGCACATGCGCACTCCTAGGGTACACCCCCACTTGGTTGCCTTCGTACACGGTCGTTGAGTATAGGTCGTTTTAGAGGTCGTCCTCTTGTATAAAAGATCATAGTTGCCTTAAAATGGTTGCCTCGGATATTGTTGCCTCAAACAAATGATCTAAGACATTAGGGTTACCGCTAAGGCGTCCTAACATTGCTTTAGTGACCGCACGTCCCTCATTCGAATTGACCCTCAAACTCCAACGACGATGCTACCTACTCATCAATAGTGGGATGGCATTGTCTAAAGGAATATAGCATAGAACGATTCTTTTTTCGAGTAGGTAGATGGTTCTTAGATACTTGCTCTTTCAAA